TATGGGTAATATGTAAAGTAGGTCGTATTCGTGAGGTCCTATTTGAGAGCTCCCAGATACGACCCAATGTGGCGTGCGCATAACCCTTCTCGCTGCTTCCGCGTCAATGTGCATTCTTGGCGTTGGTGGCGCTATTTGTTAGTTTTGAGGTCACTTACACTCAGCAAGTTTGAATTCACACAGTAAGCAAAATACATGGTCGTTTAGTATTTGAACACAACTCACGTGTGTACAAGTTCTAAAATTCATCGCAACTTTTCTACAAACAAATTTAGAGACTAGTAGCGATGACAAATAATAAAATAGTACTGGTCTCGATTTATTGATATTTCCAGGACTCAAAAAGTACATGTATACATAACACACGTAGTTTCATTATAATATTAATTTCTTGGTGTCACGAACGATTTACATCGAACACCAATTAAACTCGTGTACGTTAGTTTAATGCCTGACTTGGATATTACGTGACAGACTCTACATTTGGTGTTTTTAACCCCCCTCCCCCACACAAAATGTGGTTGTTACAAATATAACATCCAATTTTCTTTGTGAATTAACCTCTGTTTAAGACAACCCTTTGTATATTTGTAATGCGTTCCAAAATAGACAGAGATTACCACATTTCTGTCTATAACAATGGATTGAAACATAATAGCCCAGAGATTTTAAAATAACTTTTTGCAGTAAGAGCGCCGCAATTTGTTGGGTGTGAAATTGACAATGATAACTTGGGCAAGCTTAGCTCTTTGTTTGAAATTGAAAACTTTGATTACCGTGCGAGTGAGGCAATGAAGCGTCCTAAACTTTTAATTACTCACAATGTTACAATTATATATAGATTTGTCAACAAACAATATTCCTGGCTAGACATCATCAAATTCTCCGCTTGTTTCTTGAAGTTGGCGTAATTGGTGAAAATCGTGAAAAATAGTTCATTACGTCATAGTCATTCTATCATTCTATGATGACGTATATAGTTTCAGATGTCAAATGTTATCGTTTCTGATGAGGCACATTTTGAATTTTTGCTTTTCATTTTACCTCTTTGTGATTTAAATCTAAGCAAGAAGAAATACTGTTGATAGAAAGATATTCAGTACAAATCGGGTACCACATTTCTAACACACAATACGCTGATAAGATAATTTGCATATGCATAAACCACAAAACAATAATTATCTTGTTATGGCAACCAGTCAGATTCTCCCACTACTTACGTAGGTGTCGCTATTCATATTGACTCGTACTGCCACTGATTGGCGCTGTTCACTTTAATCTTGTGTTTACACACATCGCGTTGGTAAACCAGATTAGATAAACTGCCGATCTGTCGCTATGTAGGGCTACGTTTCTTGTGAACCATCCGACAAATTCAACCCGAGTGATCTGCCGAATTAGCTACACTCGGAAATATAAGTACAGTACTTCCTAAATTCCTTGGCGGAAAGACGATTGAAAATGGCTGGTTTGTTTACCGAAGACTCTGTCACTATAATCACGGAAACGGGCGAAAGCAAAATCGAGTTATGTTTTGGTGATATCACGAAACTTAAGAAAGAGGAGAAAGTCGATGTGGTTCTGGTTTCGGCATTCCGTGGTTAGTATAAATCCAACAATTCTTCGGCAGTATATTTAAATGGTGACCGAGGGGCGAGGACCATGGACCATGCATGAACCTCCCCGTCACGTCCATTTCTCTTACGGACATCAAGTTATGAACATAGAGTTACGAAAATGACCAGATTTTAGAAACCACGCCTAGTTTTGCAATTTTTTTAAAAAAATCTTCCGCTATACGCATATAAATAAATGTATATGCATATAACGGAAGTTTTTTTTTTAATTAATTAGTATTTATTAATTTTCAGCCCCCAATAGTGACTGTGGTTGCATTTCCTAATTTGCATCATATTTACACCTATTTTGTTTATAAAATGTTAATTTCATTTTACCAAATTACACATTCCATTACTATAGTAATATATTTTCAAGATCAATATATATCAATGTACGATTTTCAGTTGATGTGCCAGTGGATTAGAACAGTTAGTAGCATCACAGTAAAGTTCTGTGCACCAGTGACATGCCACATCAGCTTAGAGGGCAGTACACTGTCTGAGTATAAACATAATGTGCTCCAGTTTAATCGTCATCTTAAAACTCTGGATGATTTTTTTTTTTATTTATCACATATCACAAGGTGACTATTCTCCAACACCCTTGTCGTTGATTGGTGCTCTGAACAAACACCTCAAAATCAACGTTGAAGATTTGTCCCAGGATAAAGAGGAGGATCTTCGTAAGCTGTACTCGTGTTGGTGGTCAAAACCGTTACCTGAAGATTGTTGTTTTAAACGGCTGTTATGCTTTGAAATTCGCAGGTACGTATACATTTAGATACTCGGCAGTCATCTTGTTGTGCACGTTTGAAGCTCGTATAAATGAACAATATATTTTACATGTATACCTTTTTTTTAACCGACAAAGTATGAATAAATGAATATTTAAATCTGTTTCTATCTCTTTCAGTAAAATTGCTGTTGGTGTATTTATATTTTATGTATTATTTGTTGAAAGACTTTTGAATCTGGGGCTCGCTATTAAAAAGAAAAATAGGAGCCAATTGCTCAAATTAATTTACAATTCAAACGTGACAAAGACGCATAATATTACTTGTATATGCTAACCTGTAATAACAAACATAGACAAATTTATCACTGGCATAGATACTCAGAAAGAAAGATTATTGTAATCTTTTTTTTGTTATTGATTGACTTCTTTCAGAATGGTTCGTGGTCACCCTGCAGAACTGGTTGGTGACGTGTTTCGCTGTTTGGTGTCTGTTTTAAATAACCAAGATGGTAGTGTTATTACACCACTCCTTGCAACAGGGGATCAGGTAAGATTTTGTTACATTGCTGCACAGATTAAAACCATGCTCGATAACAGACATTTATTGATGGTAGATAGCTTTTTTGGGCTCATTATTGGTAGACGAGAGTTTCGATCTTACTAAGGGTTGACCACAGAAAAGGGTTGGCCCTCTATCATAGGTGAGTTATGTCACAGACTCAATGGCGAGTCCAAAGACTCCAATCTCTAGTAATGCAACTTTGAGAGTTCAGGTCAGCACATCACTTACTGGTGCTATTAGTTCTCATTTATTTCATCTATTGAGGCTCTTAGAATGACAATGAGACTAAATTTGACAACAAAATTCACTTACCGGTATGTACTGTAACTATTTGTACTTTTCAATTTGGATATAAAAAATAACTTTTTTGAGATTTTAAAAAGTTTAGTTTGAGCCGATTCATTATCTCATGAAACAAACTTTATATTTTCCATTTGTGCTTGCATGAATAAAGTGCTATAATACCAAACACCCTCTATTGATGAATTTTTAACAGAAAATGACTGGAACCAGCATCATTGACCTCAGTAAAATTAAGTTACAGTAGTAACAACATTGATTCTGATTCGGTTGATTTAATTACTAAGAATATATAGAACTGATGTAAGTATAGAACGTTTTTCAACTCATAAACAAATGAAATGCACAGACTTCCAAATGTATTACTTTACTGTGGCCTTTCAGTGCTTATTAGAATATTATATGGAATATTAGAGTGGGGCTCCCTATTTTGGAGTAACTATGGCCTTATGGGTGAAATTTTTAGCAAAGATACACCTATTCACTTTTCAATCGTGATTCACAAAACAAAAACGCTAACACAGTACATCAGTGCTTTGTTATGGTTACAAACCGTGATATTTACATGCATTACATCACGTAGTCCCACATTGGATGTGACACGGCGACTGTGGTGACGTTTTGTGAATTGATGCATGATAAATTTGTAAATTAATATCATTTCAACGTAATTTAAAAAAAACAACACTGATGCTCTACTCAATTCCCTTTTGTTGCTAGGGTTACCCCAAAGCTTTGATGCTGAGGGGCATGGTTGAGGGCGCTGTTAACTGGATCAAAGCCGGTCTGCCACTGCGGAAGCTGAAAATTGTTCTGTTTGCTAATATCAGTCAGTCAAGCCAGGTAGACCAGGTGAAAAAAAAGTTTGAGGCCGTCTGTCAAGTGTTCAGTGCGCTTAAAGAAAAGTATGAAACTCAGCAATATCTACCTAAGGTAAAGTAACTATAAGGATGAAATTATTATTAGGCGTCTAAGCCAACGTGGTCCCATCCAACATGCACATAATAATTAAATTTATATTTTGTGAGTTTGTTTGAGAGATTTGCTTAACAGAAAGCTATTAATTTTGTTATATTGACAGACAATGAAGCAATTTTTATAAAAAATAAAAATAAGATCAAAATTTTTAAATAAAAATAAAATTGTCCAGGAATATTTCACTTTTTATTTGTTTTAAACGTCAAAATTAATCAACAATTTTCTGAATTTATTTCAGGAAGTGCCCGTAGAGTATGATGTATATTTGTCGCACAGCGAAAGCGATTCATCGTCTACTGACGCAATCAAACAAGGTCTAAAGAAACAAAAGTCCAATATTAAGATATTTGAAGAACGACAAGACTTGAATACAGATGAAGTATGGCAGGAAAACATCTACCAAGCGATGATGAAATGTGCTAAAATTGTCACTGGTGAGTTGTACGCTGACTCTTCTTATGTACTTCAAACCAATTCAGTTTCAAGAAAGACAAATTTTCATAGTGAAGATTGTTCTGGAGTGCTATTAGTGTCAGCGACAGCGAAATTTTGATTTCCTTAATACCATTACCATTATCAAATCACAAACAGCAATTCACAGTTTGTGTGAGATGAAAGGAATTTATATTTGTTAACTTTTTTTTCAAATCAAATCGTATGTCGTCAACAGACACCTTTTGTGACCTTTTTCACAAAATACATACTTCTTTTCATATTTTTAGTCCCCATTGCAAGCACAGTCTAAAAGTGCGGACTTATGGATTGACCGCTCATAGTGTGCGTACATTCCCTGCATTCATGTGTCCATATCCACCTGTTTCACATACATACATATACATTGTTGGATTTTTTTGCCAACAGTTTTAAGCCCAGCTTATCTCAGTTCAACTTGCTGCATGGAACAGTATAACATTGCATTATGCTGTAACAGAAAGACAAAAAGAGACATGCTGGCACCGTTCTATGTGGAAAGCGTTCCCGTACTGCCAACTTATATGGGACTTGTACAATACGTCGATTGCAGGTAAGCAATTACAATTATTCAAAAAATTAAACACGCAAGTTTAAATTAAAACATATATTTATTAGAGTAAAAAAAAAAGGCCTGTTTTTTTTTTTCGTATAAAATTTACAATTATGAGTGATTACCATTTGATCTTTCGCAATGCACGAGTACGTGAATACTATCGATATAAAGTTTCAAAAGATCAGTGTGACTAACTATCATGATAATTTCCTGCTATTGAAAGTGATTTACATTTTTACAATTTATTGTTTTAATGTTCTGTACAAGAATGTAGTGATGATAATAATATTTGGGATATATATATTTATATATACATATATGCAAATATATGCAAATATATGCAAATATATGCAAATATATGCAAATATATGCAAACAGTTAAGATGAGCCATATAATATCAGCCATGATTGGAAAGTCCAATCGGCAATGGGCGTTACTTAATGGCTTTAGATAGTTTTAATGCTTTTATGAAAACAGCTGTACTGATATTGTTAATTTTTAATAGTTCTGCAAACTGACTTTTTTAATATATCAAAAATGTTGACCAGTAAATTTAAAAAAAAAATTCAAATAAAACTGAAAGACATCTGAAAAATAAAAAAAATGGTTTCTTCTTTGAAATCATTTTAAATTTTTTGTGGTTTCATAGAAAGGGTTACTTAGTTCATACATTTGCATAAATGACAAAGGTGTGTCTTGGGTCCAATGGTATGGATAAAAATTGTTAGTTCATGTGTGTTTCTATTAGAGGTGCACTTGCACAAAGCAAATACTGTAAAATACTTTATTTTAGCTGGAATTAATTTTCACTGAAAAGACTTTTTGGGTGTTTTCATGGAATTTATTTTCACTGATATCTGACAAGTTGAATGTAAAATATTGGAAAAAAAGGTATATTAGCTGGATTTTATTTTCACTGAATAAATGCTCTGGTGAAAATAGTGAAAATTAATTTCAAGCGAAAATAAAGTATTTTACAGTGGATATAAGATATTGTATCACAAAATACCATATTATAAGATACCATATTTTCTCTATTACAAGCACATATATGTAAACCAACAAATTTATTTATTGTATACTGGGTCATTATAATATTTACTTAGTTTGACCAGAGACACACACACCTTTGTCTTTTACACATGCGCTACTAATAGAGCAAATATGAGATGCACTGCTAATAAAGAACGTATGGTACTCTGGTTTTAACATGAGCCACTGCTAAATGGTGGATAGCTTAATATATTTGTATTCAAGTTTTTTTTTGCTCACAGTGCATCTACTTTTCTTCTGCGGCGTCCTGCACAGTATTTTTCTTCAACAGCGCCGAAGTAAGACACAACAAACCAACCAATATTATGAACGCTAAGACAATTCCCCCTGTGATTATTCCACCAATGGCCCAGGGACCCAACGACTGGTCTGGGTTTTCTGGACATTCTATGACTCCGACCCCGTTTTTGCTGACCTCATCAAATTTTAAGCACATCAGATTGTTCGCCGTTTCATCGTCGAAGGTTGCTGTTGCTGCTGTAAACCAAGAAACAGAGAGTTATTTATGTAAATGTTTATTTCAGCTCAGTTGCCAATTAACAGTATAACTTGTAATTTGGTGAATATAAAATTCATATTTTATTGAAGCGTAAAAATCAGGCGTGACCATTCAGAAGCTTCTCAGCCACATACAATATTTATTTTGTTGCTCTCTCTAGCAGTTACCATGGTGACACTTCATTCCAATGTTGACTCGGTCTATTAGAGAGCACACTGTTCTCATGCATAAACAAATGAGCCATATATGTATTTTAAGGTATTTTACAGTATTTTATGGTATTTTTTATCAAAATATTACATGCCTTAATTATAGTGATTAATGAAGGACGATTTTAATGATTCTTAGATAACAGGCTACAAGTAACAGTACTGCAACCCACAAGTCATTTACTGTGAACTGCTTTGATTTCAAAACAGAATAATTTTTTCATGAATATTGTGAGTCAGTGAAAGATTATGTAGTTGTGAAAGTGTCTGTAGTCCTGTGAAATTGTGTTGGCAACTTTCGCAAAATATTGTTTTTACTAATGCCATAAAATGATCAATCTAGGAGCAAAAATTAGTAGGTTTACAGTATTGATTCATTTTATAGAACTGAATAGATATATACATATATATATATACAGTATAGGGAGGAATTGGTAAATAATACTATTAAGACAATTACCTTGAACGAAAAGTAGGCATAAATATGTATACACATCACAGTTTTCAGCAGGTATGCTGACGTTGACTGACAATCCTCTATAAACGGTATCGCCCCATGGTTCGATTGATGCCGATAGATTTATATTCAGCGAATAGGTGATGTTCAGTACAAACTCTGATGAGGAGGAATTGTCACTTGATACAAACACCTGCAGCCCCAGGTTGTCGTTGCCGCCAGGTACCACAGCGCCCCCAGCGTTATGTAGTTGCATATCAAATGTGATGGTTGTAGGTTCATCGTACGTGTAGACAGGTGACGCTGGATTTGTAATGTTGACTTCTGAAATAAGTACATCTATGTGAAAAAAATATAACAAGTGAAATAGAAGTTATGTTTCAATTTAATTAGTGTATAATATTAAAAAAACATTATATTTGAATGGTACATGGTGATGTATGTTTTATTTGTGTATAAAAAGTTAAAGCTCATCTTATTGGTACGTTTCTCACCTGACGCACACGCCGTGGGTCCAACAACCTCGCTGAACATCCCGTCTATGAACTTCAGACAGTAATAATCGTTATCGGCATTATTGTCCACGTACGTCGATCCATGTTCCAAGGCGACACACAGGTGACTGTGAGTGGAACACTTTTCCGATGGGTAGTTGACAACAGCTGTGGGGGTTGGCATTTGGAACAGCTGATTGGAACCAGACACGATGCTGTTGGCTCGGCGCAATGCAGCATCATCGTCCAGATCGAATCCCGTAACTTCAACCGGGTCTACTATAATACCGTTCTCAATTTCGGCAATATACATTTTCACTTCATAGTTAATGGACCCGTTGCTTACTGCTGGTAAGTCGTCTGGTCCATTATTGGTAACCGAAATGGACATTGAACTTATTGTCACGTCAGTGTCCAATTCAAAGACTACAGCAGACGGAAAGGGGTTGAAAATGGTGTAAATCTGCAATTCCAAATCTAAAAGACAAAAACATAAAAACACAATTGTGAAATTATGTACATATTGAGGAGGTTCCAGCTGAAGTAAAGATAATACTGTGAAATACTTTATTTTCGCTGGAATTAATTTTTCGCTGAAAAGGCTTTTTGGTTGTTTTGTATGGAATTTATTTTTACTGATATTTGATGAGTTTATAATGTGAAATATAGGAAAAAAAGTATATTCACTGGATTTTATTTACATAGAATCATCCCTTCAACGAAAATAAATTCCAAGCAAAAATAAAGTATTTTACAGTATATCAGGTTCATCATACTCTCATTTTCAAAGGGTTCATGACATCAGGATACCATAAATGAAAAAAAAAATTGGGGTCATCAAATGAGAAACAAGAACCCAAAACATGGAAAATGATCAAAACTGTCATTTTTACACTGGTTCCTATGGAGACATTATTTCTTCATATCTTAAAATTTCTCTCAGTGACAAATGAGTGGGATGAAAAGTCATATAATATTATTAATGTAAATCCTTATTTCAAAAAAATTTACATATAATTTAGTGAGTTTCCAGGGTGATAATATATTTCCATGATATACAATGCATTGCATACAAGTACAGTAATAGGATTAGTACGGTAGTGCAAAATTTGAATTCACCTTGAACTTATACTTAACATGGGAAAGGAGTCATTTATTGGTGATTGTCTTACTTCTTCTGTTTTTTTTTTAATTGCTAATTACAAATTTGACCTTTAGATATGTCTGGATAACTTTGAGTCGTTTCACAATTATGTTTGAATTATTTTATTTGATATTGCTTTATTTGATGCAGTATCAGACAAAGTTCGGCATTAGGCCAAAAAAAAAAAAAATTGTTTTGTTGCCCTCAGCGACCGGCTGAAAAATATGAAATATCGGGTTGCGTTTTTTTTTTTTTTTTTTTTTTAATAGGCACAAATATTAAAAACTCACCATTTTAAGCTGTAAAAAAGTGTTTCCTCTAAAAATTAACGATCCCGGACCGTTGTTTGATCCCCAGGGTCCCCAGGGGGGATAAGTGGCGACTTTGAACCTCGGGTTGATTTGTATTTCTCTGACATGTTCCGAATACTATGAAGTCCATATACCTCGACTATTTACGATACCCTTAGTTTTCACGAGTTTAAAAGACGCAATTTTTTCAATTTTCGGACTTGAGGGCAATATAAGTTGTTGTTTTTTTGGCATTATGCTTATTTATTATCAAGGGGGATTAAATTCTGGGCAAAACCCTTTGTGAATATGTCACACGATAGCGAGTTTAACACTTTGTCAACTTTCATTACAAAATAAAATGTTACATTTTTCACGTATTTTTTTCAAAATTGTTATCAAGAACTGCAGTTAACAGAAAATTATGTGCATTTAGTCTAAAATTATCAAAAACTTTATAGAAAAGTACCTAAATTCAGATAAAATATTGCAGCAAAGTATGATGGGAAGGTGATGGGGCTCAATAGGTTAACAGCTTGTATACATGCACTTTATCATGTTCTACTTTAAAATAAATTACTTCTTACCTGTTGAAATTGCCATGGTTACAGTAAACAACATTGACGCCAGAGATATCAGAACATCAGACTTGAATAAACCCATCTGAAAACAATTCGTAATCGTTAATGTTATCGGTTGTCAAAAATAAAAAAATGCGATGAAAGTTTGGACTGTATTCAAGTTCGTACTTTAAAACTCTTGTTATGATGTTTCAAAGTGGACTCTGCGTTGTGTTTACATACTACTTAAAAATAACTGTTTTGTTCTTTGTTACCATGGCTTTCTATTCACGATGTCATGCCTTAGGGACAATTAACATTAAATGTTTGATTAAACAAATAATTCCTCAGGTTACCTTAATTCCATCACCTTGCTTTCAAACTTCAAATACGTGCACATTGTATGGGAATTTGTATACTCGCTGAATGACATTCCTGTCTGGTACTCTTCTGGTATTTTTATTCAACTCTCAAAAATGTATCGATATATGTGAAACTCACCTATGATGGAAACTTCTTTTTATAAAACGAAATTGTAGATTTTTTGGGGTCAACGCTTGCAACCTAAATCAGTTCATCTTTCTGTTTCTTCACAGGCCCCATGCCATTCAGAAGATACAGGTGGCTTGTGTACAGTTAATAGACAGCTTGTCGAAATTGATATCGTTGTTGCCGCAGAACAGATCCCATGTATCACAGCGATTGAAATTTGAATATGACGTGTTCCTGTCGTACTCCCATAAAAACTCGAATAAAGCATCGCTTCTCCTGAATGGTCTACTTGAGGTTGATTCCAGTTTGAAGATTTTTTTTGATACTGAGGAGCTAAAAACCGGTGAGTGAGTTGTAATGTCTGAACAATACCACTGACTGTAACAGTGCCCTCTAGTGGTGAGATGGGTATTTTGCTCAATTTTTATGTTGTCCTTTAACCTTTTCACCACCAGTTCCCTCTTTTTATCACAAATTCACAAAATAGTTCTATTTATAGTCTGCAATTACCTTCAGAAGATTGAGACAAAAATAGTCAATTTTTTGGGGTAAAAACTTACTTTTTGGTAAAAATTTACTCAAATTGTCTGTGTTGGCTTGAAAATTAGGGTTCATTTCCAGAAATATTGATGAATATAAGGAAAAAGTGCAGAAAAATGTGGGCTAGAAAGTCTGGTGGTGAAAAGGTTATGGTAGAAGCTTACTAAAAAATTTGAGAAAATTATGGTTATATTTTAGTGAATTCCTGCCATTTTGTCAAAACACTTTTACCATAATTGTTTCCTTTAGTGGATAGAGTGTACAAACTATATTATACATCATACAAATTGAATACTTTAAATTATCCTGAATTATTACAAAAATCAATGTTTTAAAAAGTAATAAAAAATGATATTTTGCTTTAAATTTGTTTTCCTAGTTTGTGATCTTAAAAAAGATAAAAATTTGTTGGTTTGGCAACAAAGCCTGAAATATTGATGAACTAATGGTCTAAAATTGGATTTCTGGATTTATTTGCGTAAGATTTCTCATGAATTGAACAAAATTCAAAAACTCTTATGCAGATCTTACAAAATGGTAGGACAACTTTAACATATATATACAAAAATATATATATTACTTGGTGTAATGAAAAAAAAGTACAATAATTTGCATGTATCACATATGTAGGTCAAGATCTCCACATTGACAGCTGACTCACGTAAACAAATGTTGTTATGACACACAACAGCTGCACTTTGAAAGTACTGTCTGGATAGCATGACATTACCAAATTAACATATTCCAATTAAGACACAGAACAGCACAATTACCGGTATCTCAGAATTGGCATTGAGAAAAGTCAACTGAAATATGCATTCACTGTATACAATCACAAAAAAAAAAAAACATCTTTATATCTCATTGAACTCGGGCACAAAAGAAATACAGGACTGATTTGAACATTACTAGCCCTAAACATTATAGGATGGGACCTGACTGAATATTGCAAATACGAGTACCTGCCTGCATGCTGGCATGCATGAAAACAAGCATGACTTGGGAATCTTGCACTCTACCAGTTAAAACTAATTATTAGGAACAACAATATAACACCTACATAGGAGGCCACCATGTTTTGATGGAAATGTACCATATACATGTAACACACTAAGAACCAAGTGAAAAGTAATAAAAAGTAGCCAGCTCTTGCTAATATTGCAATTTAGTCAACCCTCACATTATATCAGATTTTTTTTATTTTATTTTTATCTATTTAACTACTTGTATTTTCATTTTTTTTCTAATGAAATAAACATATAATTATATCCAGCCATTATATAGCAAACCTGTGCCCTCTGATACACTTAGACATTATCAGAGGAGAAGCTATTTGAATAGCCGGGCTCTTTTTGAGCGTTACAGCCCACATATTTCCTATTACTCATAGGCATGACCCACTTGACGAAAACAAAAGTACACAGCATGGTCACTAAAAAAACATAGAGGGCAGCATGCAACACAGATGTGAATATTTTATAAAAACAGTCCTGATATATATAATATAATTTATATATAATTTTCCTCAAAGTACAGTAATGTTACGAATTGGTACAAGAAAAGGTTATTTCATGTTATTATTCAAAAATAACTACATTATTGTACACAATAAACCAATGAATATTGTCATGTGATTTATGACCAACTTTCTCAAAATTTATGAATGACCTTCTACCATGGAATTACATCTTTATATGCAAATTAATTATATTTTTATTGGCAATACAATTAAAAACTTTAACAACAATTTTACACATTCATGTTGAAAATCTGAGACATTTTCCATATTCTTGCTATAAGAGAAATGCTTGTATTTCATTGCGAACAGCCTTTTATTTTCCTGTAAGAATTGTCTGTCTCAGAGAGAGGGCTTTTTTGTCATCCGAACACGGATTTACAATTTCACCTCTGTGCGTCCGTCCACACCTGTATCTCAGACATGCCTCATGGCTAATGTTACACATCATATCATACATACACACATGAATTTGTTTAATGATCCTATTAAAGATGGCTGAACGGTGACCATTTCGACATTATCAAGGATTTTTGCTATTTGAGAAAAATATCTCAGTTGTGAATATATATCTATTTCATTCAAATTTTGTATGTTGATTTAACATGTTGGATCTTTGATGCACATCATTTTTTCCAGATCACATTCAAAATGGTCGACTGGTGGCCATTTTGTATTAATCACTGCAGTTTCAGGGTCATATCTCTGACATACCTTTATAAGACTATTATGCAAATCATTTTCCCCCCTAGATCAGATTTTAATAAAATGAATGTCTTGGCCGTCAAACCACCAGCAAGAATGATAACTCCACTCTACTGATGTAACCAACCATTACACAAAAAATAAAACTTCAATTGAAAAAGTTAAATAGGTTTTTGCTTTCTTATACAATTGCATGAAATTGTTCTTTTCATATACATTCATTTTTCATTGGGTTGTCTGGGTTTTACTCATGTGGGTTTATTCGGTTGAAACATTAGGGCAAGGTCATAATAGTTTCACTATGTTCTGTATATACCGGC